ATGCGCCAAATGTTCTGAGGACCTCTGATCTGAGGCGTACGAGTATAGGGATATATATTATATTATATATATATTACATACACACACATATATACATATATATATAGAGAGAGAGAGGGAGGTCAAAACTGATGACAAAATTCGGACATCGAGGACATCCAAGAAGGACAAAATAACCTGTTCAGCGCAAACATTGAGATCTCTTGTCGTCTCTTGTCTGGGCACTCGGCTTCCCATGTCTGAACTTCCTGGAAAATCCCACAATCTAGAGTCAAACTGGGCCCCCTCCCATCGAAAACTGGGCGAGGCCAAGTCCAGGTCCCTTGAGACCAGAGAGGCGACACACACACACACACACTTGAGTGCATGAACTTCTCAAGCTTTCAACCCGCGAGAGAAGCGGATCCAGTGGGAAGGCCGAAACCGAAGCCCAATGCTGAGCAGGCCATGGAATTCGGTTGCTCTTAGGAGCAATGGAGAGCTTGCCGGAGCATTCGAACATATATATGTATATATATATATATTTTGAATATGTTGCTACAGGTTGCGCCCATGCATGACTCCAAAGTGTCGCGTTCACAATGCTCAAACATCCCAGAATCACCATGCATCGTCCCCATTCCCACACTTCGGACCGTCCACACACGTCCATCCACACATTCTGCCAGATGGAAGCCTTTTGCGGCCCTTGCGCGCTCTTGGAACCCCATGCCTGATGGCCACTGCCAAGAGCTCGAAAATGCCCTGCGACACCAAAAAGCGTCGGATCTGTCGCGAAGCCTTAGGTCAGTGCCTCCAGCGGATCCGTCTGCGGATCCGTCTGACCGGTCCAACCACCGTGGTTCTGAACCAGGAGTCGAGCCAATGCATTTCATGGCGAAGAACGCATCAAAACAATTCAAAACACCAAGGACCCATGAGGTTGAATGTGATTTGTTCTAGCCCTCTTTGAGGGCCCATGACACGAATTGATTTTACTCTTTGGGATAAATTGGGGCACTCCCATGACAAAGCCTCCTTTCCTGCGGACATCGCCAGGGCGTGCATCGAGCGCCAGCTCTCTGACGTCTGACGAGCAGGCGCTCGACGTGTTGAGACGGCGTGACCTTCTGCCGCCGATTAGACTGTGAATTGATCGAACCCCCACATTATGAAGATGTAAAACCATTCTGAGTAGGTTTCTTTCAATAAATAAGCAGTTTACAATAGCCAACATTGGCCGACTTTGTCTTGAGCTTGTTTGTTTGGTGTTTGGATTTTTATATTCATATAATTCAGGCTCTCCCTCTGTCGCTCTCTCCCTCTGTCTCTCTCTCTCTCTCTCCCCCCATCTCAAGGGGGCACTTGGCTGCTCTTTGAAGTTCCACCTCCCAGACCCACCCCGTCCTCGACTCACGCCGAGCCACGCAAAGGACGAGAAGGACCAAGGCGGAGACTTCGGTGTTGGAGAGTTCCTCCCAACCGCACGCCGTCTTCGCCGGTCTTCACCGAGTTCACGCCGTCTTCGCCGGTGCCGCCAAGAGCGAAAGACCCACTTGGCGCATGGAAGAGACATGAAAAGCCCAGAAAACGTCGCAACAAACATGGAGAACACCGGCGCCCCGTCTGTCGCATCTGACACCGCCTCGCCAGTGATCTGAACCTCCGGCGCCAGTGTAGAAGAATCTGCCAGGAGCGCCAGCAAGGAGTGGATGCCTCTGAGGTGTGATCAGAAGTCATTGTAAGCTACTAGAAACAATGGCATCGCTACTAGTAGCAAGAAGCTACTACAAGTAGTAGCTCCAGGCATTACTACTAGTAGCAAATTTGCTACTAGATGCTACTACTAGTAGCGATGCACCTGTTCGTAGTAGCGATGCACCTTGCTACTAGTAACTAGTAGCTTCTTTTTACTAGTTGCATGGACCTGTATGGTTTGAAAAGGAAATCCAATTTTGGGTTCCTACACGTGTTGGCATAAAAACTGGGATCTCTTGCAGCATGATTCTGTGCGAAAACAGGTTGGGCATGAGGCTGTTACAGGGCGCAAACAGATCAAGCGGCTGATGCTGCTGATCTACCGACATACTGCTACTGCTGATCTATCAATGTGGCTCCCATACACTTTTTTGCACCCCAGGTGCCACAGCGACTGTGACTTCCAGGTACAGTCACCGACGGAGTAGCAGGTAGGCGAAACAGGTCGCTCGGGTGAGCGACGCCGTCGCTCGGAGCACCGTGTGACCGCACGCGGTGTTCCGAGACCCTCGTCTCGCGGCGGGGTGAGTAGACCGTCTGCCTCCGAGTTGAAGGACCCGAATCATGTTGAAGGGATGCCTCGGCCGGTTTTTTTTCACCCCAAAATGACGCTGAAAGACCCAAAGTTACGGGCTTCAACCCCCCAAAATCGAAGTCTTTACAGCAGTATTTAGATCTATGAATGTACCTTTTTTTTAGTCAGTCATCGAGACTTATCATTACAATATGAATTTCAATGTTCAAAACCACCAACCGCCAGGTGTCAAAGGTCTCAAAGGTCCAGGTGTCAACTCCTGTCAAAGCGTCCTGCGAACCCTTCGTTTCAATAGCAATGTAACTAGGTTCTTGTCTCACAATGTCTCACATATTGGTGCGTGCGCTTTGGCCACACGACACACATATCACATAAATGAGATCTTCAAATCTAATTGTGAAAAAATGTGACGTATAAAAATGAATAGTATACAACTAACTATGCACAGCAGTAGTGACATCTCCGACCTTTGCTCATGACTGGTGTTGCTCGTGCAAACCATCTGTATCATCATCCCAGCAGCACAGCACACAAGGGAAGCAAGGCCACCGCGTAGGCCACATCATCTCGCAGCCTGACAGTCGGATCAGCATCTCACTCGGGCTGTGTTTGCTTATCTGTCAGATCGCATGGAGCCCAAATGAGGCTTCCAAAGGGTTTTCTCCTCCACTTCTAAAGAAGTCAGGCGGTGTTTCAACCGTTTTGGTGGTTCCTTCACTTTCTAGGACATGTGTCAAGTTATGTTATACTGTACGTGTAAATATGTTCTACTACACTGACACTGACAGAATCAGTGCTATCTGTGAGATCTTCATTTCAAGTCTGTTATTCTACTGTGCGACACCTGCTACTTTATCTGTTTTGAACTGTAACCCCTTCGTCATCTGCCAGCTATGTCTGCGAAACGGCTATATACATTGATTTGTAAGTGGTTCAGCGCGTCCCCACTCAAACAAAACGCAGCCCACAAAATCACCTGTCATCAAGTAATCATCTTGTACACTGCCCTCACCATCCCCCACTCTCTAATCAATATTCCAAAACCTTTGTTCTGAATGCTTGTACCTTATCAACCATAGAAATTCAAAGGACAAGTTAATTCAGGACTCAGGGTCACCCCTGATGAGTTCTACCAAGGTATGGTAATTATCTGCCCTGGCAAAACCGTCTGGCAGCGCTGGCTCGAGCCTTGCAATTGCGCAAACGAGCGGATCTTGCTGATTCTGACCTGACAGTTGGCACTGGGAAATGTGACCAAACATGATCAAACAAATTCCCGAGCAGTTGTTGACGGTGCCCCCCAAAAAAACAAAGCACCTCTATACTGTATATATATAATCTATTATATATATAATCTATTTCTATTATATATATATATTCTATATATAATATAATATATGAAATATATATATATATGTAAGATTATATGTGGGGGCCGATGTTCTCCCCCCACAAGTCCTCCGGCGCAGGACTTCACTCGCAGAGTCAGCGACACCAAGGCGCTTCGGGCGAAGGTCCTGGCACTACTCGTGCTCAAGGCCTCGTGGATCGGACCGGGTCGGGTCCGAGCCGAAGGACTGCCGGACGCTGGTTCCACAAAGGGTGGAAGCTATACCTCCCAAGTTCCATCTGGGTCAGGGTCCTGAGAAACAAAAAATGGGGAACTCAGTTCAGAACTGGTGTCTTCTCTCAGAGATTTGTAGAACTGATGCAGCAACTATCAGCAACTCACGCATGGTGCGAGAACATACATGTACCAGCCATCTTTTCTTGCAATGAGGTGTCAAAATTCTAACTTCTGATATTGCCATCTACTGGACGCAGCTCTTGAGGAACCATGTTCACTTGTATGGTCAATGCTAACTCATCAATCTTTTGGAGTGCGTCTGGCAATCAAACGCATCCTCTTATCATTTCTCATCCCCCAACACACGAGCAACGCTTGGGCCTCCTGTGGAATCTCATAGGCATCCGCCAGTTGTATGAAGCTCCCCGGTGCAGAGGCAATCCAACCCTTGGCCTCGCCGGTAGTTGTTGACCTACCTTGGGTATATCCTAATTCCTGTAGCAGTGGCTGATGATGGTTAGCGGTTAGCGGTTAGCGATTAGTAAAGGCCTTTCTCCAAATAGATCCAAATAGTGACAATTGTTTCCTGACTGGTAAAGGTATTGCGACACCCCCAAGACCTACCTGTAACCGTTTGAGACAGCGAACTGTTCAAGAAGTGAGGACGGATCCTGCCCGCTGGACCGGCTTCCCCTTCTTTTGGGCGATCTTCGAGATGTATTTTGCCAGCACAGCCCTCTGAAAGCTTGAAAGAAGAAGATCTGCGATGTGTCAGTGTCAGCCGCCTCTCTTTTTGCTCTCGCACTCGTGTTGATTTGTTGGTGCTGCAAGTCACCTGCGTCGATCCCTTCCATGGATTCAACGGGACGTTTCAGGTGCTGTGCGGCTGTGCTTGGCTGTGGAATTGTTGACCACCATCGATTGACCACCATCGATATACTGATCTCAATATACAAACACACACCACACAAACACACACACACACACATACGCGCACACACACACACACACTTCTCAGTGGTGGTCAGTAATCCCATGACCAAATAATTAACCACAGATTCTTGGCTCGTGGCTCGGCCACGGCCCCTGGGTGGAAGGGAGTGAGACGGCCCCTGAAGTCATCGCTATGTGCTTTCTGCCTCAGGGGGCAATCGGCCAGGCTCAAAACATATCTTCCACGACTTCTTCCTTAGCAGGAAAGGAGACTGGCTGCTCCATCCGAGACAAGCTCAGGAACTTAGTACTAGCAGTGGGCTCTGATGGCTGCGCCATCTGGGTACAACGAGGGCAACGCGAGGGCAACGCTAGACCCTGGCACACAACGCAATTCCACACTAATGCCTGACCAAAAGGACACTCAAAAGCAAAGCAACTGAACAGCTCAAGAACCACTACTTCTTCCAAACCAGGGCGCTTCGCTGACTTGAAGGAGGGGCAATGGGCGGACTTCCTTGGGAATCATGGCCGCCTCGAGTTGCCTCTGCCGAGCCACCACCATCTCCAACATGTCCACGCTCCGGTTCTCGGTCACCAGCTGCCCCGACAGCACTTGATAGCCTGGCACGCTGGGGACAAACCCATCCACCCTATAAGCGCTATACGAAGCGATAAGAACCTCCTGAAGAATTAAAACGAGTGAAGTGCTGCCAGGGGCCAGGACATACATGTTCCAACACTGCATGCACACCACGCAACCAGAATGGTGCACATGATGGACTTGCGGATTTTGCCAAGCGGCTCTTTGCGGTCATCAGCACGGTGACCCCATGTACATGTTTGACGATTCTGGAGTGGTCCAAGCATTGCCGCAAGAGTTTGTAGTCATCAACGCCCTTCGCCAAGTTGGCGAGCGCTGACCTGTGTGGTACATCGGTTCCCGAAAGCATGGTGAGGCCCAGGTTGGGATGCTGGGTGATATAGCGTACGCCTCAAAACTATGATCACGTATGATTCTAGTGAAGGTACCTGGAGTGACTCTTCTCACACGTTCAAGGATCCCTTCTCTGCTCTGCCCCATGTAAAGCTGAGCAACAGCTGAAGCGGAGCCTAAAGGGTTTATCAACGAACATGGGGATCCTCCCGAAAACAATGGAACTGGAAGATCAGGCCTTCAAGGAGCCATGTTCCACTTCCATGCGAAGGAGCGCAAAAACAAAAGCAACACTTCTTCACTCGGGCCCAGCGACATATCCACCTTCACTGTAGAGACATCCTCTTTGAGGCATTGGTGTTTGAGCAACTTGTTGTAGAGCTCAACTAACCCTTGCAACCCTGCTCGTAGTCCAAGACCCTTGTTCCCCATGGCATTCGTCAAGAACAGCGGCAAGTACATGAACATAAAGGCCTTGCAAAGAGAGTCAGGTCAGGCGTGTGTCCCCACCCTACCTCGAATAATTCGACCACACATCCTAGACTGTTCATGGCTTTGAAGGATAGAGATGGATGGAGTGAAGTTCAGATTCAATAGAGGCTCTGAATTCTTTGGTGGTCAAGCTGATCGCTCCCCTTCAAAAAGGTAGGAGGACCCTATTCTAAAAAAAATCATGTCGGAGCCCCCCAAATACGGCTTGTGTTCGTTTTTTAATTTACCGCCCTTTCAAGCTTCTACTAAACTACCACCATGGCCGATTTTGGATGAGTTTTTTTGGTTCCAAAAGCAACTGTAACTGCATGCAACTGCCCACCTCTATCAACCATGACACGCCGTGTTTACACCAGCAGGCTTTCCTTCCCCCAATGGCACGGACTCACGCAAACGCACTTTCCACCGAGGTCACGCAAAACCGCATGGCACAGCGACATCACCTTGAGCTTTAGTTGTTAGTCTAATGAAGAATCACTATTCTAATGAAGGTTTTTGTAGAGGAAAAGGAAGACCCTTCGATCTGGAGTTTTTTTTGAATTGTTGATACGAGTTTAATAAAGGATTGTACATAAATTTTCCTGGGTGACTTTTTGGTTTTGAAGCCCTTCCCAGGTGACCCTATTTTGGACCACCCTGATTTCAGGGACCCCTTACTAAAAAAAGGCGACCGAGGTTTCCTTATTAGGGGGGGACCGCGTGCTTTTTGATAGGTGGACAGGATTATATACATGCCATTAATTTTACATAAGTGTGCAAATGCACACTCCCAGTGTCACCCAATGCAATGCAGGGATTCATCCTCTTTTTGGGAAAGAGTCCGGTGCCCATCCCGACTCACCGTCCCAGCCCTCACCTTGTGCGTATGTCCATCCAGCAAGAAAATCTCCTGGAGGGCATTCTGCTCGGAATCGGATAAGGCGTTCCAATCCTGAGGCGTGAAAAGTGGGATCGGAAGTGGGATTACATCCAAATACCAAACGCGTTTGCGCAAAAGAGAAGCATGCCTCATCAAGGAGTCAGTACTTGAACGCGTTTGTGCAAATTCGTGGAACGAGCCAGAATATGACCAAACATAGCCGACATAGCCACCAGCAAGCCAACCAGCATGCTCCATACCATATTTTGTCCAAGGCTCATTATTGAGTTGTTTCAATGACTCGGTGTCCACGGTGCGTGTTAAGCAAGCCAAGCGGGCCAAAACCAAATGGCTGGCCTCTTGCACTTTGAGCTGCAGTGCTTCGGCGCGCACCGCGATGTAATGCCTCAGCACCCGCAATACAATCCGGGGTCGGGAGGTTTTATTCGCGAGGTCGGGTAACGGAGCTCCTTCGAGCTAGCAGGGTGAGAGTAAATCAATTTGTAGGGGCTGCTGCATCTCAGCAGAGTGGTGTTTGGTAAGCACTGGACTGGTAAGCATGGAATGCTAAGATGGGAGTGTCCCTGTGCCACGTGCGAAGGAAAACTGCTGACTAAAATGCTTGGCCAACGGTCCCAGCCGGAAACCCAGACCCTACCTTCCTGGCACTGCTCGCAGGTCTCGGAGGTCTCGGGGCAACACTTACGAACGGAGGCTTTCTGAGATTGGGTTTGCCTTAATCGTGTCCAGCTCTGCCTGGAATCGACATGGGTTTCCACTGAACCCCCGAAATCCACCCCAAAGCGTGATGAACATGATCTCTCCAATGAAAACCCAACCTGAACGGGGTTCTTGATGTTTTCTGGTTCGAACGGGCCAAAGTGTGGTCAATATATTTATTATATACACGCCGCTTGTTCAGCGTAGTGGATGGTTTTGTCTTGGAGGGTTCGGGTGGTGATGTCGGTCAGGGAAACTAACAAAACAACACTGAAAGCAAAATCGACGCAAATCCTCCCAGAGTACCAGTAGATATTTGGCGGCTCTTTGTTGGAGAGATCCTGCAAGCAGGCCAGGCCCTTCAACACAGAGCGCCCATTCAATTCAGTGAGAAACCTTGGTTCTGCAAGATTTGAGCAGCTGGATGAACGACAAGAGCCGCCGGGCCAAACAGGGAAGCTTAGGACTATGCACAATACGAGGAAACTCCTGGTGCTACCCCTTTACAACAACCGGACATGCCCTGGAGTTTAGCATCTCAGGAACTGCCAAGAATGGGTGTGCATGTATGTCAGGATGGGCACGCATATGAATATATGCATTCCAATTGCTTCCGCAAATCAGCAGGATTTTACACCACTTGTCATCCTTATCACCACTGATCTCCTGAATGCGGACTGCTCCACTGCCTTATCCGATGCTTCCAGTTCCCCCCTAACAGGATTGCCCCAAGTGGGCATATGGATTTGGCTCAGTAATATCTGTGACCCGAGAACCCACATGTAATGTCCTCCATTTAATTACTAGGGCGTATGGGGGGTTGGGGGGCACCTTGTTGTTAAGCCACCGCCATTTCGACCTCCACGGTCCGCATTGAAAAATCGGTTCTGCCTGGTCCACGGGCGGTCCGAGAAGCAATGAGCCATCCAAGGTGACTGCTCCAGTGACGCCGCATAAGATGCACACGTGCACTAAGAGGAAAATTGAAAAGACTTCTTGCCCTTCTTCCTGCCGCAGACGACTGGCCCGCCCGTGGGCGGAAATATAATATACAACAACTGGCCCGAGCTATGGCGGCGATGGCGACGGGAGGTGGCGTCACCTCTTGAAAAACACTGAACAAACGAGACACGGACAGAACAAGAGGGACGACTCCCCTGCGCATTGACATGGAACCCCAAAAGCACTGTAGAGGAAAATGGTCGAAACCACCGGTCAATTCTCAGGTTACATGTTAGTTTGCGGGAGGGTAGTTTGTCAGGAAAGCTGAGGGGACCGAATCTGTTCAGCATCGATTTACCAGTGTTTCGCAACCATTCAGGATGACAAAGCACGCGTATTGAACAATCTACCCCCCTTCAACAAACATGAAAATTGATAACCCCCTTTCTTTTGCAAACATGCTCTTTCCACGGGCCATGTCTATATAACTAACTTCCATGAATTGTTGGAGAGAAGCTAAAGAAATCAACCTGACTCTGCCAATCCAACTTGTCCTTGCGAGCACTCTGCAGCTGCCAAACTGAATGAGGGTTGTTCTCTCCTTGAAGCAGCTGGGCGAAGTTGAATTCGCCCAGCATGCGAACGGTGCAAATCATCATGTCGAAGACTTCGCCCTTGATCGAAGCTATTGAAGGCAGGTACGGATCCAAGTTACTGACGGCATAGTAGAGAACGTCTTCAGGCCTACGACGTTCCTGGCAAAAAAATGGGAACGACTGCGTGCCGGTGAATTGGTGACAACGAGAAACCAAAACCGTTGGTGCGAAAGGTGTGAAGAAACTGGGCAAACAAAGGCTTGAAGCGAGCTTCAGAAGGGGGGCACAGCCGTGCCACATCATCAGTTTTGCTCAAACCACGGATGGCCAAAATCAAGATTGCTACCTGGTGGCTGATTGACTGGACAAAAAACATGCCGGAACATTTCTGAACATCTCAGTATTTGGATAACCGGGCTAACTTGTTCCAAGTAGAGAGTACAGTAACATTTCAAACATATTTTAAAATAATACAATAGTAAAGAAACATAAAGAAACACACATTCCAAACACCCAGTTGCTGTGATCTGGCTGGTGGTCATCTCCCTAATGCATAAATTCTCTCTGATCAAGTTGAAGGTTTGCATGCGCAAGCGCGCCCCTGGCTTTTGGCATTCGACCATACTGGTGTAGTCACCCTTGACCAGCCAAACCGCACTCAGCACTGAAAGAAAGGCCCGTTGCTTTTCATCATCACATCCCAGGTTTCCATAAAGACCATCGGCTCTGAGCTCTGGCATATAGAACTTAATCTCCTCAATGATCTCCTTGTTGCCTTGGATTTGCTGATCAGGGATGATCAGGAACCTCGAAACAATCTACATTCATCATCTGCAATCTACACTATTCCCCCTCAAAACTCTCAGGAGTCCTTCTCCCTCCTTGCCAGAAACCTCTCAATTCTCTCCGCTCCGGAGTGCCACCGGGTCACTTTGCCCCTGCCGGGTGAGACACAGTATCATGTCCGAGAAGTCCGTCTGCGTCGACGACTTGAAGCGATGGATGCGCCCGGTGCCCGGCACCAGCAAGTCCAAGAGCTGCGTGCGCTGCCTCGGTCGGGCCGGTCGACCGGACCGTCACCACCGGTCAGCGTGGAAGCCACACGGAGTGCCGTGCTGATCAGAACAAATGCCGAAGAAGAAACCCTAAGAATTCTGGGCTTAGTCAAAGGGAAGAACGACCGAAAGCACAAACACCAGCGGACTGGAGGGCCAAGACCTAGGATTCTGCGGTTCTTATCGTCCAAGTACACTCCTTCTGCAATGACTTCATCGTCCGTGATTTCCCAAATCTCACCACGGTTCCTTAGTGATTTGCAATTTTGGATCTGCCGCACCAACGAACGACGCCTTGCCAGGGAAACACTATATTACCCTGAGGATCCATGACCATCAATAGGTGTAAAATAGAAATGACCTCAAAATTTGAGGTCATGTCTGATGACCAAGAATAGCACCGACATTGTCGGAAATGCGTTTGTCGGATGTGTCGGACCTGCATTCTGAGGCTTCACAGGGCCATTTTGGCCAATAATGTTAAGTACAATTATGGCTTGATGTCATCATTCAGACATCTTTTGGACAGAAACTGGAAGTTCCCGCATTCAGTAGTGTAGACATGTGTAGACCATGCAGCAATCAAGTGTTTTTTTGATTTGAGTTGGCTAGAAGCATGCCATGAAACGCGCCAAAGCAGCTCACCGAGCTGAGAAGGCTCGGTCAGCACTAGCTGATGGTGCACCCGCTGGTGGGCAAGGGCCTACTGGTTTCCAAGCTTCTGGAAGTACTGGCAGTGGTGGACTGGTTCAACATTGGGGAGGTGCCTGCCTGCCCACTGCAGTGCTGTGATTGGTCAAGGTTTGTGGAAATATGAGCATGCAAAACATGCATGTGGGTAAAGTTTAGTGGACACGACGCGTTCTTTTTTAAACCTAGGCAATTGAGATAGGTGTGTTGCAGATTTAGCCACTTGAGAGGGCTGCGCTGCAAATAGCTGTTGGCATGGGTTAGCAGCTGTGCAGCATTTTGGTTGCGCAGCTAGCTAGTGTGACTATTGCCTTCAAGCTGAAGCCATGGCCCCACCAAACCAGCAGAATAAGTACTATGCAGCTGTCATAGAGGACATGGGCCGGGTATTTTATGTAATTATGCCGTATTATGCTGTGATAAACCTGTTTGAGACCGGGTCTTGAACAACCTTGACTATATACACAATAGTTATTCCGTGTTATTTAACAGCCTTCGGCCAGGTCCGCCGCCCCACCAAGTTTTTGGATTGTAAGAACAAAGCCGTGGTTAGATATGAACATAACAACAAAAACTAAGGAAAACAACAACAAGAACAACAGCAACAGCAAGAACATCGGGGGTGAAGTCAGCGAACCAAAAAATCCGCACCAAGGAACATTCTAAGGACCCAGGGCAAGGTCACAATCTTTACAAGCTATACAAGCAACCTTCCACAAGACATGCCTCGCCTCTGCACGTGGCAGAGGCTCGGCGGATTCTGAACATCTGGGCTAAACCTCCTCGAGACTAGGTCTTGAACAACCTTGCCTATACATACATCTTGGAATCGATCATGTTAGTGCAATTCTTAGGCCAAATCTAATCAACAAAGACTTGGACAAAGGTCCTCAAGTGTTCATGCCCTGAAGGACGTACTCAATGAATATCTTTTGGAGGAGGGGCGGCTGGAGTCTATCCGGAAGCAGCCGCTTAAGGTTCTTTTCACGAAGCCAGACAGCGGTCCGGCATCTATCGAGATGGACTCATGTCTTCATTTTCAGAGGTGTTTTGTCTGTGCTATGGTGAATCTTGGTATACTTGTTGGGGGAGAACGCGCAACCAGCCTGTTCAAGACCTACAGGTTGAGCAGCATTATGAGCTGGCTATGCAGTATTTGGCCTCGACAGAACTGGTGATTCCATGCTTGAAGATTCATCAGGCGTGGTGACATTCCTAGGACCCTAGGATGTAATTGGGGAGTGTGGGAGTGTGATCTTGAGGTGGGGTTGTGACCATTGACAATATGCCTTGTTAGATCAACATGTTTAAATATGTGGTGAGACGGTGAGACGCTCCATCACTCGGCGGCAGGAAGTGATCATCACCTTGTGCAAAAGGTATGCAATCTTGGGCTCAAAAGCCAAAGGTCGTGAAATCAAGGCCCAACGGATTCTTGCAATCAAAAATATATATTTCACTATACTGTACTCCCTTCTGAATGGGTTTCACAATGCATGATGGCCAGGATTGGGCTGGAACAGAAGCTGCCAATTTGCGTTGCATGCTGACACACGTGCTGTACCTTTGCAAGAAAGCCAAATCTTCCAGATCTCCAAAGGTCAGGTTTCTGAAGGAGTTCCTATTGGATTTAAAACTCAAAGGCGCGGGTGGACAAAAAATTGGTTCATGAAGGCCGCATGATCTGAATTTGAATATGTTTTTACTTACCCTTCACCCTTCTTCCTGGCCAGCTGGTGGGGATCCAGAACACGGTGTGGAAGCTGCATTGAATGCTGCGGTGGCACTGGAGGACATTCCTGCACAACCCATGTATGTATATAGTGACCCTGAAAGCATTTCAAAACAACCCCGGCGTAGTCAAATATCCCATATGAATCGGGCATCTGACTCGTACTGGTTGAGGAGCCTGAGAATACGGCGTTGACCCCGTCGTCTACTACTAGTGCTTCACCCCCAAACACTGCCAGACGATCGGACCCTGTGCGCGCTGTCATGTGTCGGTGTATTTGATTTTGAGAAAACTGTCCTGAAGCAAGTAGGCCTCTGTCTGTGTCTTATAAAGTCCTTTACCACCCAGCAAACCATTTTCTCAGGTACCCCACCCTGATGAGCTCGAGACTCAGCTGGAGACCATCCTCGATGGCTTCATGGAACCTCCGGCTGCTGATATTTCCGGTTGTCGACGTCAAGCTTTGAAGGACAATGCGACATTAATATTTTTTTAATGGGAGTCTGACCTTTTACAAGTCTGTACTGGGCAACAACAACTGACGGCTAGCTAGCACGTTCATGACGCCAGGACCGAACACCTATTGAAGCAGAGAAGCCATCGGCTCGGGCTGACTTGGAGAAGGTTGCTCATGAACTTGTTAAAGAGAAGATAGATGTTGAAGAGGGGCCTAGTGATCCCTACTCAGCCCAACTTGCGAAATCCAAGGCCGCAAAGGTGGAATCTGCTGAAAAGCTTCTTGAGCGGGCTTCTAAGGATCCCAAAGTTCAGAAAGCCATCAACAAAAAAGCTACTGGGAGGGCTGGCAAGGGCCGTGGTCGTGGAAGGGGTCGGTCCACATCTGTCCCTTCTGACGATAAAGGTGGTGATGCTTCAGGAGGCACAGGTGATCAGGCATGTGACCATGGTGATCAAAATATGCCTGATCCTGCCCCCAATTGCAGTGCAGAGCCATCACTCCAAGATGCATGGAAGGAGAAGGAGACCATTACCTACAATATGACTTGTGTTTTGACCAAATTGTACTGTGTGGTGATTGTGCATCCAGGCAACAAAAATCTATATCTATATAAAATATGTATGCATATACTTGTCTTTTCAACGGTCAACCCGGAGTCCATCCGCACACAACTGCGCCTCCTCACCTTCCAGGAGCAAATGCTGAAGGCAGCTGGCGTGCCTATTCCGGATGGAGCGGGTGCCAGGAAGAGCTTCACTATCAAACCACCGCCAAACTGCAAGGATGGAGCCGGTTCTTTGGGCATTTTGCTTTTGGTCTGCAATCTAGCATGGAACCTCTTGCGTTGTTTCTATCTGCATCTCTCTATATATATAAAGCAAATATAAAGCACAGAAATCTTTGGGCATTCACTGGTACTCGGGCATTGTTTGTCAATGAGGTGGCACCTTGAGCAAATCTATGTGAGCAAGATCATTGATGCAGCTGCAATCCCTGAGGGCCTTACTCCAAAGGGTAAGGGGGTTACTATTGCTGTCCGAAAGAGGGGTGGATGGACAAAGTCTTGGGACATCAGTCAGCGTGTAGCTGGCTGGATTTAATCTTGATGATCTAATCTGGGTAGTTTGCTGATGTGGGGGGCTGAAGGGTAAATGTACCTGTAGACTGTTGTGTTGAACCGGTATTGGAAATGGCAAGCGCCCTCCACGCAGCTGGGTTAGGATGCGAAAGTGGTGCATCCGACAGGATCCGGGCACAAAGACCTTGAAAAGAAGAAAAAAATGTGAATGAGGCGTTGTTGGGTACTAGGACTTCACAGTCCAGCTCCAGAGTTGGTTGCCTGTGTTGGGTATGCTTCTCTTCATTTGCAATCAAGATCTTCCTTGCAGGGGTGCGTATACTAAACGCGTTGGTTTTGTTTCAAAGCCATGGCGTTCGGGTTGTCCCGGAAAAAAGCGGCTCTGCTCCTGTTCTATGGTGCTCCAGTACTTCTGACCCTTTTCTGATCACGATCATCAAGTCGCTTTCATGTTTGTTTTAACTTTCCGTTAATTGTAAAAAATCACTCAAGTCCCCCGCTGTAGCAGCTTCAAAACTTAGGTTTGGGAGGGGCTAAGGGTGATGGGTCTTTAATTGCCAATACAGGCTTGTGTACTCATTTGGTTGGGTGTATACAGTCGCCCAGTATGACAGCTGCTGACTCCACACTGAGGATTCATTGCTGGGACTATGTTTCGCAGCAGCTGTCAGCAGCTGACAACCACTGGCAGAGGGACCGAATTGAACAATGCAATGTTGTCGAGAATGTTGAAAGCAAACTGTTCAATTTCATGGGTTTCTCTTGCCTGCATGTCAATGCGCTTGGGCAGCCTAGTACTTTTCAAACTACGTCAGGATGTGGATGTATATGAGATGTTCAGTGGCTGCGGCGAATTGGGGCGACAATGCCGTAACCTGCCGGCCTTTTGATGTTTTCCAGCATTGCCAATTCAATGCCTTGACAATATACCCTTCCCTTCGGCGTCCCTCCGGCCAGTCTCCAGGTATGGAAGGCTTTGAAGTGCGGCGGTCCGACATCAACCGTGGGCCTCTGCACGATTTGACTTCAAGCCAGGGCTTTCTCCTGGCAATGAAGGGAGTGCTGCGATTGAAGGAAAACGGATTGCCGTGGCTAGGCGTGCCATGCAACTCGACCCTTGGGCTCAACTTGGGACACGCAAGTCTTTACATGATTAGTCATCCAGTTTTTTGCACGCGGGGGAGGAGGGCTGATCTAACATCTTGGTCTTCCAACAAGGTGGATTTGGATTTCATCCTCCACCACAAAAAGAACGACTTTGGGCTATGGAATCATGGGTGACGAACGCA